ATTTTACTACATTCACTTTGTCTCGAGTGCCCAATAGTTCAGAAAAAAAAATCTTTTGAAAATTCGTGACCTTGAGCAAGCAATTTAGATATTGTCGAAATCAAAAATATATACTTTGCGCAACTGGTAATATTCCAACTGCCATTGTATTTTTAGTTTAATCGTTCGTCACCAGTGTCATTCATCATCAAATTTTAGGAAGCAAAAGAGCTTTTGTCCTAGTAATAATATATGTAACATACATATGCACGTTGCTGGTAAAATTTTCTGCACCAGTGAGCTTATAGCGATGGCCATTGAAATCATGGTAATACGTAAAGGACTTCTTTTGTCGCACAACCTGCAGATGATTTGCTTTGTTTACACTTTCCTGGGAGGCAGATTGGTCATTAAAAGTGGATGTTTAAAGCACTCGACTAAATCTGCTTGCCATCATAACGTAAACATAGCCATTTGTCTGTTTTTCAACAAACACCACTACCTCAAAAAGAATGAATATCCAACTATAAATGCATTTGATTATGAGGATTCTGTAATCTTAGTGAATTAAAATACATTTATCTTTCATTATTTTCACCACTGATTCAAGTGAGGATCATGAAACACAATCATCAATGCTAATATGACGAATATAAACCATTTTCAGTTCTATTGGAAAAGATCGAGGCAACGTTTAGTAGAGTAGAACTTTTCGACGTGCATGCAATAATACTATCGATCATATTGCTAATCAATTGTGATTTAATCGACAGCCAACACTTCGAAATAACTAAATCATTGAATTGCCATGAAGCAAGTCTTGTCGTAATTGACGCGATGAAGATGATTGTGACAAAATGAAATTGATTTGTTATTCTCGATGTTTAAGGTGTTTTGGCATTTTCCATTGACAGTGTTCTGGTGTTAAACTGAAGACCAACTGAGATATCAATGTTTCTTAAACTTTCTTCACTTTGAAGGAATAATACCATCAACACATCTCTTGTCTTTAAATATGGGCACCGCTTTTTTTCGTTAAAACGAAATGAAAGCGGAGGGAAAACCAGCGGATCCAGTGAAAAACCCTCTAATCGAAAACAGATAAAAAGTAATAAACTATACCAACGTTGAGCACATTTTTAAGATCCCAAAGTTTTACAAGAACTTTCTTTTCAATGAGGTATGATGATCCCAATGATCTATTGTACTATATACTGACGTACACGCAAAAAATGCTTTGAATTCAGATAAATTAAATTCAAACAATCCATGCAGATATAATGCCTCAAGCGCATGGATAAGCAATGAAATCATCCCGTGACGTCATGAGCAGCCACAATTATAAAACAGCTTAACATTGTTTCAAATTTTGACATTTTCACAAAATTTTTACAACTTTGTTTACTAAAATAATCGGTCATAGCTGGCTTTCACTTGCAAGTTATTTCCTAATGTTAATTTTGATAAAACTATTTGAAAAAGCTTAGCACCAAATTATAAGTACGAACCATTAATCTTGATCCTGATAGACAATAAAAAAACAAAGTTTTAAACAAGTACGTGTTTAACAACTTACCAATGTTTCGTACAATCGGAACAGTCATAAAAAAACAGCTCTACTAAAGCATAACAAACGCCTTCATCTACAGGAATCAACTTATCTACATTGCATGATCCTTGTAAAATGATGAGTGCTCGATATGTCTACTGTCTTTTCTGGCTTTAAATTCATTTTATGATGCGGGATCCATGCAAAATACATATCAATGACTGGAAAATTTTCTTTGCTTACCCTATCAAAAAACTTAACATGTGCGCACAATCACCATGAATTTTCCCTAACACAAAGCAAAGAAGCTATTTCATTTGAATGGATCAATGCATCTGTATTTATATGCCTCACTTTGCAAAGCATCGTATGAAATATATGTTACATTCTCATCGCTCAGAGAGTTGCCATCGAGAAACCATCAAAACAACTTAGCTGATAGCTACATATGCTGAACAAGTTTTTTCATCGGAAAAGATATATAGGCAGAGAGTCGGATATTTTTAAATGAATTAAAGCCTACCTCGATTGTAAATGAATTTATGTTCAAAGAGAAGAATTTCTTCTCCTGAAGATGGTTTCTCCACAAATTTATCACTTCTTGTACTTCACACTTATTTCCCTGGTGGACGGATAAAATTTCAGCACAATAACATCTCTTATTCTGTAACGTTGGAAGTTCATAGCTTGAAGATGGACAATTTTAAGTACGTTGAGATGAATATGTCATCATTAAAGCTTCTATTCTGATTGGTTCAAGAGGATCATGCCGCTTCTCGGGGAAGCCATTTAAAAATAGGCTCATGGTTATTTGAAATGCTAAGTAGCGATGATAAAAAAGGGATAAACCAATTATATGACAGTTGTGTGAGTAAATGTTTATGATTGGTTGAAAAAACTAGGTTATGATAAAGAGCATATATAGAAATGGAAACTGTAAAGAGCAAATACAGCATATGTATGTCATTTAAATAAAAAAAAGTTCATTAACGGGCTTCACAGTTCAAATAAATAAAGACAAAGTTCAATTGTTGCAACCGTCCTCTTGAGATTTACCAAACAATGTTGCTCGCCCACGTCGGCTGGAAACCAGCAATAACACTGATGAAATATTCTTTTGTATCATAACACCAACATGGCTGAATGGCAAGTGAAGAATAGCGGACTCACGCTGTTGACTTTCGCTATGCAGAACGCATAATGAAATGTCTTATTAAATGTACTCGTTTGCCATATTGATGTAACAAAAATGCTATTGAGCTTTATCTATACGTAATTGAGCTGTTTAACGAGTTAACTTTGTTCTTATCTAAGGCCGGTTTCAAACGGCGCATTTTATTTGAGCCGAATGCATAAAAACAAAAAAAATGAGATAAAATTTCTAATTATGTTTTGTTTTAAATGCATTCGGCTCATCTAAAATGCGACGTTTGAAACAGGCCTAAATGACATGCAAATGTTTTAATTGTTGTGTTTGTCCCCATTGTTTCATTGATCAAACAGGAAACTCCATTCTCTTAAGTAGGTTGACCTTCATAACAGAATAGGAAACAAAAAATGGGCCACTACAATAAGCAGTTATGTGGTACGCATATCTTATTGCACATGTGACTGCAATTACGGTTATTCCGAAAATTGACCTCCGTCCCAATGTCTTCGGAACACGAAGAATAATGACAATAACAACTTTGGTTTCTTAAACAATTTTTATTCTTACTCCTCAATGTATCCATCCAGGTGTGTCTGACTCTTCCTCACAGAGTGGATTTCACCTGGTCAACTGTCTGACTGCTTCAGTAAGCTTGGAAAAGTCCCAACTTTCTCATTCTGGATCATTTCTAACAAGGTCCCCACGCATGGCTGGGAGTTTGTCTAGAGTCATGGAAACATTTCCTTGGACATCTTTCAGTTCCAAAGCTTGGACACTGTGATTTAACTTCTTACTAAATTCGGCAATCTTTCTCGGGTTTGCTCCGGAGATATGAGGCAAGTCCATGATCTATTTTATGTAAGCTTTTATAATTTCCGAATTCTTCCCATACTGATCTTTTAAAATTGACTTTGCTCTGTTGTATCATTCGGTGGTAAAAGGTAATGATTCTACTCGTCGCTTAACTTTGGGCCCAAGGAAACCACACAGATATGTGAATTTGTTGATGGCAGCTATATTTGACTTGTCCACCGTCTCCGTAAATTGCCCCCAAAATCTGGGCCAATCCATGTATTCCCCCTCAAATTTCGTAATATTTATTTTTGGTAATCTCACCGACATACCTTCATCACTTATTTTTGAGTCCCTGGACTTTGAATTTTGAATTTACTTGTGCCTTTGTTTCTTGAAGCTTTACTTCAAATTTAAGTTGCTCCTCGCGAGCGTGATTTTCCTCTTCTAATTTCCTATTGTTCAGCCAGTGTTGCAGCTTGTTTATTTCGTCTTCGGCTTAGCTTATTTTTGTTTCGATTTCCACATTCCAATCGCTGATTTCTTCAAGGTCGTCTTCTCTTTCGATTTTCGTTGCTTCTACAGCTCTTTTAAAATTGTCAGCTTTGTTCATAGTTGTTTTGAGTGCGTTCAGTTGTCGTTCGATAGTTTCTCGCTTTCCCGAATCTAATATTTTAGCTGTTCTTTGAGCAGATAACTTTAGTTGAGTTAATTTTATGTTGAGTTTTGCTTCGTCGTTTGCCATGTTTGTATGGGACGCGTAATATCTCGTACGAAATTTTCACAATTTATCACAATAACAATCCTTCGTCGGTAGGTGACACGTATTCCGAAAATTGACCTCCGTCCCAATGTCTTCGGAACACGAAGAATAATCACAATAACAACTTTGGTTTCTTAAACAATTTTCAGTATTACTGAAATAGCAAAACACAGCCAGAAATCTAATTAAATTACTATACAGCATGGAGTTGCACAGTGAGGTCATTCTACTGTTTATGTATTCATTGCTATCTGTTTGCAAGCAATCCTCTTGAATTAACTAAGCAGTAACGTTTGCATATGCTCGATGGGTGCCCTAAAAATACATTAATATAGTATTCATTTACATAGAGAAAACTTCCCCCATTATCTTTTGTTTTGAATGCGTTCGGTTCATGTAAAGTTCCACGTTTATGCGTGTGTCATCGGCTTTCCCAACCCTGGGGACCCGAAGATTTAGTGGGGCCTTTGAAATTATAAATTTAAAATTCCGCACTATTTCCCTACCCTAAGATTTTTATTACTATGCAAAGAGCCCAACCATATGTCCAAACCATTCATTTTTGGTATAATCAGGCAAAAAATTGTTTGCAAGATAGTCATGATACAAGTTCTAATTTTATTTAATTTCCTCAGAATACAAAGCCTATATATTTATATATCAACAAAACATTTCTTAAAAACAACTAAACACTATTATGAAGTATTTTTTCCTAAACACAAACCACAAATGTATTGTTCCATTGCATCTGCTTCCTCCTGATTTACATCAACGCATACTCCGTGAAACCACTGGTAGCAGCCATCACACTGAGCAATTAAGCGTTCTTCTTCCTTTCGGCAGATACAATAAACTTTCTGTTCTGTAGTCTCAGGATCCGCTGTTTTTTCATCATTCCTTCGTTTAATTAACTAGGCCAAAGACATTCAACATGGCCGACGGACAGAACTTCAATACCCTGCCATCTCAAATAGTCCGTGTGAACGCATAATAGCCGTCTTGTTTTCATTATATAAGTTGATTATTGTGAGTTCATTTTTAATTTTACTTTCTTTATAAAATTAAGATTCAGCAATAAAGTATGAAAGTGTCGTATTCCTTTTGATTTGAGCAATAAATTTGTAATAAATTTCTTTCGCTCGCTGTGAGATCAATCATCCGCTGATTAATCACTCTGGAGAGGACTGGGCTTTAGCGTCGCGTGTTTGTTGCGTCTGTATGAAAAAGTTAATTTTTGTTTTTAGATTTTTGATCAGTGCAAGCACTTTTTGAAATTTAGCCAAGAAAAGAAGGGGTTAAATTCAAGGAATTTAATTTTTAGATAACTTAAATGTGCATTTATACGAGGTCTTAATGATTCAACGTAAGTTGTTTGATAAATATGCTTTTTATCATTAAACGGGTTGGATAAGCTGAACTTCTGCTCTTAATCTGTTTAAGCCACAGCACCTGCCGTAAATATAATGACCTGTTCTCAAGTTAACTCTATAAAATTGAAATTAGGAATAAATATATATTATTTAAACCGCTAGTATCCACAGTGACAAATGTGAAACACTAATATCAAAGTCAATCTATAAAATGCTCGGCTCTTAAAAGGTTTAATAACCACCTCCTAAAAACAAAAAAAATTTATTAAAAATATTAATCATTCTATGTGCATTCACCGATGTCAAACATAATTTTTTTATATCATAGAAAGGTTTTTTAATTATGTTAGCTTTTTTAATGAATTTTTATGGCATGTTTTAATATTTAGAATACTTTGGTCCTGCTTACGTGAGATCGAAACGAAGTCAATACGGTACCAGCTCGTGTCGGTTACAGTATTATTTATAGTAAATGTTTACACGGGACCATTACGAAAATGATACAGAGCGGTCTGAAATCGTACGGCCATCTGAACTGATCCCACTGAGTTCAGAACGGTATTAATTGAAACCGGCATCAATGTAAACTCAAATTAATGCTTAGGCCAGACTGAAATGGCAACAACCTTGCGCCCAAATTGCAAAAACAAAATGGCCAGCAGGTGTAAATCTAGCCTGAAAAGGAGGAGTAATACAAATAAAGATTTCTCGAGATTTCTCATGTCCTATGTAAAAAAGTAACAAATGTTTATTTTCATTCCGGTTTGACTTCGTTCCGGTCTCATGTAAACAGGGTCTTAGTTAACCTGCTTTATGATTTGACAAGATTATGGTGTGAATTTATATCGGAACGTTATCTTATTTTTAATAGTAGCATGTTTTTATCACTTAACTTTGTTTTGGCTAAAGAGAAATGAACTGAAATAGCGTCAGTTGAATTTAAATTTAAGTATCTGCAAGACGAAACTAAATATATAATATGTTGCAGCTTTGTTAATAAACATATCCTTTTTTCCACTTCATTAATTAGAAGCTATTATAGCATGCATTTTAATATGTGAGCTCTGCAATAAAGCTAGCAATTAGAAAAACAATCTAGCTTTTCGTATATACTCTTCAAAGACGCAACAAACAGTAAACCTAAAAATGGCATATAAAAGGCACATAGCTGTTGTCGAATTTACGATTCCTATCGTCATATTTGGTATCATTGGCAACGTTCTTGTTATCATCTCAATATTACGACGACGAAGTTTGTTGACGAGCAACTACTACTTTGTTGTTCTACATCTTGCCATTTGTGATCTTATGTTGCTGGTCGAATTCTTTGTGCACTCAATGACAAAACTTTTCGAGAGGAATGTTGAGTATTATGAAACATCTTGTCTTTTTTTGCAGACAGGATACTTGTTTGCATTAGCAGGAGCTCTTATGATGTTGATAATCGCAATTCTACGTTATTGTGCCTCTGCATATCCTTTGAAGATTCCTATCAGCAAACGAAAATTGAAAGTTTTTTGTGCTATGGTTTACATTGTATCGTTTATACTAGGGTACGCAATATATATTCCAATATGTGTGGACAACGGTGAGCAGGGTGCGCTGGTTAAAATACAGCGTTTTGTATTCATCTTTGCTTGCATTTTTACCACTTCTGTCTATGCAGTAGTTTATTACAAAATTGGTCGAGTAATTTTTATCCAGGGAAACAATTTCTTAACTTCACAAGGTCAGAATGTAGCCACCTCCTCGTTCACCAAACAAAGATATCGTCGAAATCATTGAGCTCTATAAGAACTGGAGGGGCAAAGGGGCCTGGACCCCATGGTCAAAAAAATGGTGGTAATAGCGGATGTTGGTGGTCAAAACTTCCACTTTAAACATTTTTTTCAATATTCACTACCTCCTGATTTCCAATACTGTTTATATGAACGTTAACAAGTGGAAAAAAAACAATTAGATACCGACAGCATCATGTGAAAATGCTTCAGCATTGCGTGAAAACACAGTACACACACATCAAAATAAAGAAAATCGACGGTAGAGAAACGCATATTTTGGCTGTAACATTTATGTTATTTTATGACATTTTAACCTTTTAAAAGTGAAAATCAAACGGCATTAGTAGACCTGTCAATCTCGTCAAACTTATACATTATTTCATGCTTCTGTGTGTTTGACTGTTTGTAAACAGTTTGGTGCAACTATTTTTCTTGCTCAAATGGATAAATCTGTGTAAAAATGCGTCTGAGGAAGCGATAAAATGTTTGCTTCAGTCCTACGACATAAGTCAACTGAAAATTTACCATGGATAAGTATCATAAGTGTATTGTCATTACCTGATAAATCTACAGAAAACTCATAAAGAAAATACGTTGAACTTGAAGAGCTATAAAAAAGAAAACAATTCAAAACACCATGATGCTGCTGCTTGGTAATTTGTATTTTGTAAACAGCTTGGCAGAATCTTGGATCTATTACAGAACAGAACTACATTCATTTTCCATTGAATTACAAACTTGGAAACTAAAGTGCATTGGTTTCTCTGACAAAAACACTCTGTCTATTGCTGCATGAAGGCAAAATAGTTATTTGACAGTGTACGTGAAGAAATTTATCAAGCTCTATACATATTATTGTGCGTTACTTACAGTTTTTTGGAATTGTGTATATATGTCAAGAACAAGATATAATTTTTCAAAAGTGCTAACCCCTTCGAGCACTACTACTCTTTTGTTTTGCTTAAACAACTTACAGCTACCAATACTAATTATTTATATGTACAAACTAACATTTGGGAATCGAATGATAAACAACTTGTTAAATCTTTGTATTTTACATCAAGCCTTTGAATTAGTTACTTTTATCTCTTGGTTAAAAAAAATATTAATGAAAGACTTACAAATCAAGTTTCTTGAAAATAGTATTTTGTACAAAGAAACTAAATAATTGGAAAGGTCACATGTTGAAGACAGACTTTGCTTCTTTGACTAGGTTGCTTGACCATGAGCAAATTTAAATTTGTTTACAATTTGTTTAAAGAATTCTTTTTATTGATTTCTACTAATTCTTCATAAGACACAAAGAATTTCTTTCCCATCTATTTTTGCTTCTTCTACATTCAACTTCATTGTAACCAATGCATCCGATGTGAATTTGTGGATCACCTGGAATCATACCAATTATGGATATGATGAGATGAGACAATATGTTTAATTTTTCATGCATATTAATGATATAATCATAAGCTACTGTTGAACAAAAATTTCAAGGTAGAAACAAATCTTAGCACATTGTTCAACACATTACTTTTATCTTGGTTTTGAAGTAATAACCTGTTTACTATAACAATAAATACTTCATTTACAGAAACGCTAAGTAGTACTTTAAAACTGTTTGCATAAATCCAACATTCCAATCCCATTATAATTTTCTACACTATACAGTCAGTCAAATTGAGCAGGCAAACAGTTTAATACTTATTTTTATTATACAACATATACCATAGTTCTCATTAATTTTGCATGGCACTGCATTCAATTTCAACACAACTCTGTTGTAAACTTTCCCTTCATCTTTTAAAAAAAAACATGAACAAATTATGCCCCATTTTTGGGAGGTAAACTCAATTCAAATCAGGAGAGTTTAGCTTGATGCCTTGATCATGATACAAGATGGATGCAAAACTCGATAAAAATTGACAGCTTCGCCACGTCTGGCGATCGATTAAGTGAAGAACAAACAAGACTGGACCAAAATAACTTTAAATTATAACTTAGTAGTAGAAACACTCTTCAAGTACCTTGTTAAAAACAAAATAGTAAAACTAATACTGTACTACTTACCGGAGTCAAGAAATGTTCCCTTTTCTGTCGCTATTTCAGCATCCGCAAACCACAGAAGTTGGCAGTTTAATAAATAAAATTTTAAAAAAGTGTTTATGTTAGGAAAATAAATAGTTTTGATATTTTCTATACTCGCAATCGTGGTGGTCAAATCAGGGTGGGCGACAAAAATTTTATTTCATGAGCCCGCGTCTCTCCGCTGACTTTGACCACCAAAATCCGCCATGTTTTTCACCACGCGGCCGCGCGCTAATAATTTATACTAATTTTGTTGACGTTTCCCCTCCAGTTATTATAGAACTCAATGGTCGAAATCGTAAAATATTCTTTGTTTGTGTCATGACAGTCATCTTCAACACAATTGCAAATATCCCAGTCGCTATGGCTTTCTTTGTCGACATGAAAAGCGATTATTTATCGTCAGCTTTTTTCGACATTGCTTTATTGCTTAGATTTTTCAACCCCTTTATTGCTTAGAGTTTTTAACCCCTTTATCTATGGATTGTTGGACAAAAAACTTCTCCTTTTATGGAGGAACTGTCAAAAAAGGAAAGCGACTATTATGCTTGCTGCTCCCATTGAAAGGAACGGGTAAAACTTTTAGAAGAAACCACTGTATGGATTTTCTTGAATGTGAAGAGTGTTATTTCGGTTTATGAACGACGATAATTTCAATAAAGAATAATTCGATTTATGCAATTCCACTCTGCAGCTGTTCAAGGATTGTACTGAATAGTTTACTATCCTATTGTAATACCTTGGTCAAAACGTTTCCAACTGAAAACAGCATTATATCATGATTTAAGTTGAATTCTGTTCTTTTTGTGGCTCACCAAGTTCAGGATATTTTCTTTACATATACTGTGTAGAGCTGTAAGCCAGTATGAAACAATTTTACCCAAAATTTATCGAGACGCATAAGCCATACTTAAAACTTTTTTGACTGTTGTCAAGATTCAGGAATAAAGATTTAACTAGACGTTGGGGTTTTTCTCGTGTCTTTCTGTGCATACTTTCCAACACTTGTAGATCTCATCGATAAATACATTTTTATTAAGCGCTTTACGAATACATATACTGATATACAGAGATCAATGTTTGTATATAAACTTTAAGATTTTTTATTTTTACGGTCCCACTGTCTACTGTTATTTTTAACCTAAATTGTTATTTCTGTATAGTTGAAGTTCCTTTACCGAAGATTTTCTTCGTATAATTGCGTGTGTATTTTATAAAACGCTATAGCATATCTTTGCATCGAAAGCATAATAGTTCTTGAGTTTTTAACACTGATAGAATTCGATAAGTTTATTAGAAATCAGGAGGCAGTGAATGGCGAAAAAAATTTTCAAAGTGGAAAATTTTCATCCACAATTTCCTATTCGCCACAATGTCAAAGCAACGTTGAGAAAACGTTTGTCAATTATGAATACCTAGAAGAGCGTTGTGCAATGGTTGTCTCAAAGTCAAACATCATTTTCCTACAACCTTAGGAAAATCTTGGTTTAATCACTTTAATTTGCTGTGAGCAAAGTTCGTATAACATAACGTATTAGCATAACAAAACTGGTGTTAATAAAGTATTAATAGCTCACCAGTAGCTTTCTCGTTTGCACCATAATTAACGTTTTTGTTGTATGGGTGCCTCTCTTCATTCAACGACCAAAAACTAATTCCCTAATTCCTACTACAATCAGCGACTTACAGTGAAATGTTCAACATGGCGTATGAAATACATCCAACGATTGTTAAACTTACTTTTCCAGTTGCCATATTTGGAATTATTGGCAACACTCTTGTTATCACTTCTACATTACGACGAGGTAGTTTGTTGACAAGCAACTATTACTTTGCTGTTCTACATCTTGCAATTTGTGATAATGTTTGGCTGGTTGTATATTTTGTGAACCTCACGACGAAGCTTTTTAAGAGAGACGTTGCGTACGATGAAACGTTTTGTCTTTTTGCTAAAACAGGATACTTTTTCGCCGTTGCTGGATCTTTTATGATGTTGACTATTACAATTCTACGTTATTGTGCAACAGCATATCCTTTTAAGCATCTAATCAGTAAAAGAAAATTGAAAATCATTTGTGCTACGGTTTATATTGCATCGTTCATATTGGGCTATGTATTGTTTGTTCCAAATTGTGTGGAAAACGATGACCATTTTGTGATCGTTAAAATTCAACACTATATAATTGTGTTAGGCTCCTTTCTCGCCACTGCAGCAATGATAGTAATTTATTTTAAAATCGCAAGAGTACTTTTTAACCGACAAAACAATTTCTCAATTTCACATTATCAGAATGAAGTTACATCTTCATTCAGCAAACAAAGATATCGTCGAAATCGTAAAATATTTTTAGTTTGCATCACGACAGTCATCTTCTACACAGTTGGACACATTCCTGTCTCCATCGCATTCTTTGTTGAAACAAACAATTATTATTCATCGTCTGTATATTACGACATTGCTCTACTGTTTAGAATTTTCACTACGCACGTGGTCAATCCTCTTATCTATGGATTGCTGGACAAAAAGATTGTGATGTTTTGGAGAAATTGGCGAAAAAAGGAGACAAATGTTATGCTTGATGCCACTAAAGCAAAGAATGTTTGCTTTGCTTGATGAAAGACTGCAGCTAACTAGGTATACATTAATAAAAAGTAACTAAAGGGCAAATCACAGAATAATAACTATATAGAAGGGTCACTCCAGTGTGCAAATTTATATATGCCAAAGGATGCCATGAACGAATTAATTTTCAATCTTGCAGAAGTTCAAATTGCCTATCCACTGTTTTCATTTTGCACAAGGTATTATTTATATGCCATTAATATAAAGAAAAATATTATTCTGTGTTGTTTTGTAGTCTCAATTAGAAGAAAATTAATATAAAGGGTTTACCTTAAAGGAATTGATAAATAGAATTCAGAAATTACGCCAGAGATATAAAAAAGAAAAAGATAGGTCACGGCAAACAGGAACAGGTGTCTTAAAAAAGTGGAAGTTTTTTAACGAGATTGATGCTTTTCTAACTGTGCGACATAACCTCAATCCGTTAAAAATCATCGACACTATGGCAGAAGGTGATGAACAAGATGTGCATGAATTTGATGATGGGAAACGGGGAAGGTTAGAGGATAGCAGTTTCGACCCTAATATATATAAAGTCATCTTTTTTAAAATAAAAATATTTTTAATGTTACAGTATGTATTGCTGTAATGTATTACAGTATCCCGGTATGTATTAAATGATTAATGCAAGGAATGAGGTACTGTATATTTCGAACGTGCATGAATATATGTGTTGACATGTTGGCACCTTTCTGTGACTTGAGTTGACAACTGCAAAATTGTTAGAAAATTGTCTTGATAAATTTGATATGGTAAGGAAAAAAACGAAAAATTACAAAATGATGATCGCATATGAAATATTCTCGCGTACTTAAATTTTACGAAATTTTTGTTATCGACATTGTAAATTGTCTTTAGGTATCAGAAGTTTGAACAGGATCGCATTGATAGAGGGAATGAATTTCGACTAAAGCAAATTCAGCTTGAAAATGAGAAGAAAGGAACAGGTACATGAGCTAAATATGATGCGTATGATGTTATCATCATAGGTCAACAGCCTTCTGCTCCGATAAATGGTTACCAACAACATAATTAACATATTGGGTACATGGTTGATCAATTTGGTTTACAAGTATATCCACGTGACAGCAGCGTTCAAAAGGATTCAAACACGGAAAAAATCTTTATGCAATTGTAATACTTTGTTATCATTTAAACTGTTGATATTTCTACATTATATTCGTTTTTTTTACCTGTCTTTCACTGAACAGGTGGACATGTTTTAGATACTTCGGTAACTGCTTTTTAACAAGTTATGTCAGTCGTTTAACGGAACGATGACAAAATGCAGGGTCTTTACAACTTGCAAGTGTCTTTCAAATTTAATTTTTGGTCTTTATTTCAACATTAGCCTCATTCAAATGATTTTGTTAAAAACATTTTGTGGAATTGTGGAATTCATGTAACGTTAAATTTTAAAAGAATATTGAAGAACTGTTTAAGAAAAATAGTTTAATAAAGCAGCGCGAATATCTGAGCATCTTCTATTTTGATTTCCTCAATTGGCACCACAACAAAAGCATCATCAAAAATTTCTACCACCTCCCAGTCGGGCATGAATTCGGGCATGAATTCGTCTTACGTAAAATGCATGATAAATGGATAATATCGACTAAAGAAGCTACTTCCATATTTAGACTTTTACTAAATCATACATGGCGTCCTTTCCATCTCCAAAATGTGTTTTCCACGGTCATTCTTGCACGAATAAGATTGTAGTTAAGCTTCTTCTGTCGTTCAGTAGCCTCAATTTTGGGATACCCCTTTATTAACCATGACAAGAGAGGGTAAACTGGGTAACCTAAAAGAAACGGTGCTATTTCCACTCCCCTAATTTTCTTCACAATATCGAGGGAAAAGACGTTTCTTATTTCCATTGGAGAAAAGTGTAGAATTAGAAAGAATTCGCGCATCATGGACCCTACAGGCCATCCTATAACCATATCCCGGAACATATAACTACAGTGAGCGACCACTTACATCACGATACTGTGAAAACCTCCACGATTCAAATACTCTATGTTGCTATTAGCTGGTGCTAATATTTATATATGTATTGCACCAGCAAACATAGGAAAACCCCACTGCTCTTCATAATCTTGCAAAACTTGAAAGTTTTCGTCTCCCTTAGGAAAATTGATTGCTTTGAGAAAGTGTTTTATTATTGAACGGCTTACTTCTTTAATGCACTAACACACTAATGAATGGGAGACGCCAAAAAGATTAGCAAAAGTTCGATACTCTGCCCTACACGATAAATAATACAACGTTATAGCCAGGCGTCGTTTTGCAGAAAGTGGATTACGCATGGGAGTAATTTTACGATCTATTTCTTGCCGAACCCTATTAATTCAAGCGTGCTTTTTTCACGCAAAATTTGCGTGCCACAGTTCATCGTTGTAGAGTTCATCGACCATATCAAACCAAACTAGTGAACGTGGATGCATCCACAACAACCTTTCTCGTGGTTGATACAAATAGGCCAGTACTGTTTTGATTAAGGCAAATCAACGCTTCTTTCTCTAGTAAAATGATATTACCGAAAGATAGCAGCTTCTAAACTTCGTATGAACGGTTTCCTGTCGTTTTCGGAAGTGCATATACCAAGCTAAAGCTATCTTTACTTCATCATTATGTAAGTCCACCATGTTTGAAGTTTCGAATAATCCGCCAATTTAATTTTTTTTCGTCATCCGCCGACACTTATTTTTCGGGGCTCATACTCTAAGCAGGCTGTTTCTATAAATCAGGCGTGCCTGTTAAAAAAATGGCACGCTTAAAAAACTAAAGTATAAACAAAGCGGACTTGATAAAAGACAGTGGCCCGCGTGCCAAAATTTAGTCGTACCCTGCCCAAAACAGTTGTCGTGTAAACGGTGCTCAACAGCCAGTTGTGACCTCTGAATTGTATTTGCCGATTGTGAACTTAATTTTCCTCTCCATTTTATTACCTTATATTCAGCTGTGAAAACAAAATGTACGGAGTGCGTAGCTAGCCGAAAAATTTGTTTATGCTATGGACACTTTTCATCATTATCATTATACATTTATTTGAAGTCTCTTGCTCTTGAAAGTGAGTGAACACATAAAAATTTACAATGATTGAACGAACTTGAACGCTGGCCACACTGCTACATCTACAAATATTGAAAAAAAGAAACATGACAACACGTCGTATGTTTCTATTTTTGATTATTTAAACTTTAACGAGCAGTCCCATTTTTTTAGTCTTTATTCTGATCGTTTTCTGGTAATAATCATAAACTGGCAAATTTAAGAGTTATTTGTACAGTTCTGAAAAGCTAGTACAGATAATTAAAAGTGAGTTGCTTTCCAGCAACCGGGAGTCAAAATGTAAACATATAAAGGCGCAGTGCATGATGGTAACTTAAGAGTATTTAGTCATATAGTCATTTAGGTTCATCCATTATTCATTTAATAGTTTTAGTCAATACCAGATGCACCTATATGCAGCTAAACTTCTGGTTTTAGTACATTTCATTAAGTTCACATCACAGCCAACAATAAATATGCGAAGAAAAAGTTATGTAATGATATACGTCATAGGAGTCATGCTGATAGAGCACGAAGACTATGAAAGCAGTACAGTTTCACTGGTTAAAATTAAGTGAAGTCATTATTTGCACAAGATTAGAGAATGTTGCCGTGTGCTTTTCTTTAGTTTTATTTATAGTTTATAAAATTAAAACTACGCAATAAATTACAAAAGTCGTTTATCGTTTAATTTAACCAATTTAACTCTTGTTAAATTGCTTTCGTTTGGTGTGACATAAAAGGTAATTAAACGGCACGTAGCAACTTTATGAAAAATTGCCATTGAATACACACCTGTCTATAATCAGTTTACGGGTTATCTATCTATAATAGAACCAAATGCACTCGTTGGTTCGTACTCTTGAAACAAACATATGAAATGCTTCCAGCTATTGTTATCCTTACTATTCCTGTTGCCATATTTGGTATTATTGGCAACTCTCTTGTTATTATCTCAGTGTTTCAACGACGACGAAGTTTGTTTTCGAGCAACTACTACTTTCTTGTTTTACATCTTGCTATTTGTGATGGTATTTTTTTGGCTCTACGTTTTGTGTCTTTAATGAGCAAACTTATTCAAAAAAATGTGGCGCATCATAAAGCATTTTGTCTTATCAATGAAACAGGATTAATGCTTGCTGAAGACTGAGCCATTATGATGTTTATGATTTCAGTTCTACGTTACCGTGCAACTGTATATCCTTTCAAATCTCCTATCAGTAAACGAAGAATGAAAGTCAGTTGTGCTGTGGCTTACGTTGTATCGTTCATAATAGGTTATGTCTATTCCTCGCTGTGAGAACATAAATGACAAGTTTGTGACCAAGAAACTACAACTTTATTTAGATATCTTTGGTCATTGCTTTCTTGAAACAGCAGCACAGACGGTAATTTATTATAAAGTAGTCAAAGAGCTTTATAACCAAAAAAACATTTTCCAAATTTCACACAATCGGAATTCAGTTGACTCATCGTTCAGCAATCAAAGAAATCGGCGAAATCGTAAAATAGCTTTTGTTTGTATCTTGACAGTCATTTTCTACGCAATTGGAAATATTCTAATCACCCTCTCATACTTCGTTATGTTGAACAAAAGTTATTCATCGTCAATAATTTTGGACATCACCCTACTGCTTAAAATTTTCGCAACACATGCTGTCATTCCTCTTATCTATGGATTGTTGGACAAAAAACTTCTGACGTTTTCGCGGAAACGCCGAAAAAAAAGGGTGAATGTTATGCTGGAGGCTCCCATCAAAAGGAATGGAGAACATTTTTAACGTTACTAAATTTAAGAGTAATAATTTGTACAAAGTGATAAATAGTACTTCGGTTAATCAACGACTTCCACTAATCAAGTGAATAACAACAAAAAATAAGTGACGTTCAAACATTAAACGTTTTTGCATGTTTAAAAGCATTGCAATCGCTGGATTATCAACCATTGTAGCTATATTAACTGTTAAACGTGCATCCGCAATTAGTGTTTAAACATATTTTAAGAGGATATAAACATTTCAATATCAACATTGCTTTTATATTCCGGCTGCTAAGATCCAAAAATTGTTCCCTTGATAAAAGCATGAAATTTAGCATTATTACTGAGTTTATGAAGGGAATAATTTGAAAAATAAGGCCCCTCAATGATGTCCATTAAAGCAAGTGCGGCGCATGTTCAAAAATGATGAAGTAATGAAAACAAGATTAAGATCTTTAATCGATTTAAAAGGTTAAGAAACCATGTTAAGTGTAGTATGGTTGCTGAAAAATATCAATTGATCAGTGAAAGGACAATTGGCACGTAGCAACTCTGGAAGATTAGTTGTCACGTGGTATGGTTGAGATGCTTAAGTATTAAAACGTTTTGTCAATAAAACCACAAAAAAGTAACTTGGTCGTTATTACTTGTCTAAGCAACAGACAGTTAAACACTGAAAATGGCGTATGAACTACATGCAATCATTGTTATCATTTTCATTCCTATTGCCATATTGGCATTATTGGCATTTCTGTTATTATCATCTCGATATTACGACAATGAAAAATTGTTGACGAGCAACTACTACTTTGTTGTTCTACATTTAACCATTTGCGATACTCTTTTTCTTGTTCTACATTTTGTGATCTTGATGTGCCAACTTTCTAAAAGAGCTGTAGCAGATGACAAAACATTTTGCCTTGTTAATGACATATGCTGGATACTTGTTTGCTAAAGCAGGAGGTCTTGTTATGTTCATAATTTCCATTCTAGAAGACTTACAAGCCATGTATTTTCTTTCAATGAAACTGATGGTATATGTACACTACAGTTGTAGAAAAAAAGACTGGTAACGTTTTTACCAGTCTCTGTTTTCATTTCATATTTATAGAGAAGACTTGCTATAACCTAACGTTGTTGATGATCGGATTTTCTATAATTTTTATGGATATCTTAATTACAGTGATGCAAAAAAAGAATGAACGTGTAGAGCAAAAATAATGTAATCAGTAATCGTAAAAAGCTTTAATAAATATGTTATGACCAAATTTTCATTTTAAACTGTTTGCATGTTTTTTTAGTTCCAAACATAATTTTTAGCAATATGCAGCTGCACGCTTCTAAATATGGAGATTCAGAAAATACACTTTTTTGAGCACAGCTGTTGATGTTGCGTGAGGTATAGTAGATACGAATTTGCGTGAAATATTGGGTGATATTTGTAGAACTGTCTCTACAAATTTGTACGTATTGTACAAAGAGGAATTTAGTAATGATTGAAAAAGGCATGTGCTGTTGCACTGAGCAAATAGATGCAGGCCGACTACATCATGGTGTATGCATAATATTATATGTTAAACCATTTCAAATCTTCACCTCTATAAGACCACTATCTAGTGGCGAAAAGCTCACCGCCTTAAATTATTTATAGTTAGTGATCGAGCGCTTTACATTAACAATGCTCTACCCATATTCACATGACAGAAAAAGCGTAAATTTCTGAAAAAAATTGACATGAAGATTTAACGTTTTTTTACGAACATCATAACCTTTGTTTTGCACATTCGTCTTACGTATAAGTTTTTTTCTCTTTTTACACAAATGGTTTTAAATAAACGTCTTTCGTTTGAATCTATTTTTAAAGCATGATGTTTATGACATAAAGTGCATGATATTGCTAGAACTCTATTATTAACCGCAGATTTCAGTATATCTTATTTTCTTATATTCATTTTTATCTACGTAAAATTATTTCTTTTTAGACGGATTTGGTTTTAAAAATCTTTCATTTGGATATATATATAACGTACGTTGTTTATGACATAAAATAAAAAATCTTGCCTGAACTCTGTTATAAACTTAAGATTCATCTACATTTTATTGCTTTATATTCAGCTGTGAAAACAAAGTAAACGGAGTGGCGTTGCTAGCTGAGCTGAATAATTTTTCAACATTATCATTGTTCGTTTCTTTAAAAAGTCTTTTAATTGCTTTTTATAGTGAGTGAACACATACAAATTTACAATGCATGAACGAACTTGCAAGCTGGCCACGCTGCTACATCTTCATGTACATATATTGAACAATAGAAAAATGACGTACGTTGTATGTGTCCGTTTTTGATTATTCAAACATCAACGAGCTTTCCAATTTTTTTATTTTTATTCTGATCGTTTTTTGGTAATAATGCTAATGAAACTGGTAAATTTGATGGCTATTTCTACAATTCTGAAAAGCTAGTACACATAGTTAACAGTGAGTTGCTTCCCAGCATCGGTCAGTCAAAATGTAAACATGTAAACGCGCAGTGCATGATGGTAACTTAAGACTAATTAGTCATATAGTCATTTAGGTTCATCTAATTTTCATTTATAATTTTAGCTATCACCAGATGCACTGTCATGCAGCTAAACATCTGGTTTTAGTACATTGCGTTAAGTTCACATCACAAATAACAATAAATATGCAAAGAAAAGAATAATGTATTGCTATACTTCATAGGAATCATGCTGATACAGCACGAAGACTATGAAAGCAGTACAGTTTCACTAGGTTTAAAATTAAGTGAAGACATTATTTGCACAAGATTAGAGAATATTGCCGTGTGCTTTTCTATAGTTTTATTTATACTTTATAAAATTAAAACTACGCAATAAATTACAAAGTCGTTTATCGTTTAATTTAACCAATTTAACTCTTGTTAAATTGCTTTCGTTTGTGTGACACAAAAATTAAAGGCACGTAGCAATTTATAAAAAAATTGCATTGAATACTCACCTGTCGTGTAACTTATAATCAGTTTACAGGTTATCTTCGTTGGGCTTTTCTATCTATAAAACCACCAAAAGCACTTGTTTGTTCGTATTCTTCTAACAAACATATGAAATGCATCCAGCTATTGTTGTCCTTAATATTCCTGTTGCCATATTTGGTATCATTGGCAACTCTCTTGTTCTTATCTCAATATTTCAACGACGAAGGAGTTTGTTGACAAGCAACTACTACTTTCTCGTTTTACATCTTGCTATTTGTGATGGTATTTGGTTGGCTGTACATTTTGTGTATTTAATGAGCGAACTTATTAAAAAGAATGTGACGCATCATAAAGCATCTTGTTATATCAGTGAAATAGGATTAATGTTTGCTGAAGCAGGATCCATTATGATGTTTATGATTTCAGTTCTACGTTACCGTGCAACTGTATATCCTTTGAAATCTCCTATCAGTAAACGAAGAATGAAAGTCAGTTGTGCTGTGGCTTACGTTGTATCGTTCATAATAGGTTATGCAATGTCTATTCCTTTCTGTGTGAACAAAAATGACAAGTTTGTGACCAAGAAACTACAACTTTATTTAGTTATCTTTGGTCATGGCTTTCTTGCCACAGCAGCAATGGCGGTAATTTATTATAAAGTAGTCAAAGAGCTTTATAACCAAAAAAACAGTTTCCAAATTTCACACAATCGGAATTCAGTTGACTCATCGTTCAGCAAACAAAGATATCGGCGAAATCGTAAAATAACTTTTGCTTGTATCTTGACAGTCATCTTCTACGCAATTGGTAATATTCCAATCGCCATCTCATTCTTCGTTAGAATGGACAAATATTATTCATCGTCAATAATTTTCGACATCACCCGACTGCTTAGAATTTTCGCAACACATGCTGTCAATCCTCTTATCTATGGATTATTGGACAAAAAACTTCTGACGTTTTGGAGGAACTGCCGAAAAAAAAGGGTGAATGTTATGCTGGAGGCTCCCATCGAAAGGAATGGACAACATTTTTAAGGTTACTAAATTTACGAATAGTAATTTGTACAAAGTGATAAATAATCCGGCAGCTAAGATCCAAAATTGCTCCCTTGATAAAAGCATGAAATTTAGCATCATTACTGAGTTTATGAAGGGAATAATTTGAAATACAAGGCCCCTCAAAAGATGTCCTTTAAAGCAAGTGCGGCGCATGCTCCAAAATGATGAAGTAATGAAAACAAGATTAAGATCTTTAATCGATTTAAAAGGTTAAGAAACCATGTTAAGTGTAGTATGGTGGCTGAAAAATATCAATTGATCAGTGAAATGACAATTGGCACGCGGCAACTCTGAAAGATTAGTGGTCACGTAGCATGATTGAGATGCTTAAGTATAAAAACGTCTTGTTAATAAAACCAGCCTTTCTGTCAATAAAACCCCAAAAAAGTAACTTGGTCGTTATTACTCGTCTAAGCAACAGACAGTTAAACACTGAAAATGGCGTATAAACTACATGCAATCATTGTTATCATTTTCATTCCTATTGCCATATTTGGAATTATTGGCAATTCTGTTGTTATCATCTCGATATTACGACGATGAAAAATTGTTGACGAGCAACTACTACTTTGTTGTTCTACATTTAACCATTTGTGATGCTCTTTTATTGTTCTACATTTTGTGATCTTGATTCGCCAACTTTCTAAAAGAGCTGTAGTAGATGACAAAACAATTTGCCTTGTTAATGACATATGCTGGATACTTGTTTGCTAAAGCAGGAGGTCTTGTTATGTTCATAATTTCCATTCTAGAAGACTTACAAGCCATGTGTTTCCTTAAAATGAAACTGATGGTATATGTACACTACAGTTGTAGCAATTTAGACTGGAAACCTTTTTACCAGTCTCTGTTTTCATTTCATATTTATAGAGAAGACTTGCTATAGCCTAACGTTGTTGATGATCGGATTTTCTATAATTTTTATGGATATCTTAATTACAAAGATGCAAAACGAAAATAAACGTGTTAAGCAAAAATGATATAATTTTTAGCAATATGCAGCTGCAAGCTCCTAAATATGGAGATTTAGAAAATGCACTTTTTTGAGCACAGCTGTTGATGTTGCGTGAGATATTGTAGATAAGAATATGCGTGAAATATTGCGTGAAATTTGTAGAACTTGCTTCTCAAATTTGTACGTATTGTACAAAGATGAATTTAGTAAGGATTGTTAAAGGCATCTGCTGTTGCACTGAGCAAATAGACTCACGCCGACTACATCACGGTGTATGCATAATATTTCATATTAAACCATTTCAACTTTTCACCTCGAGAAATGCACATCTAGTGGCGAAAAGCTTACCTTCTTAAATTATTTATAGTTAGTGAGCGAGTGCTTTACATTAACCACACCCCATCCATATTCACGTGACAGAAAAAGCGTAAATTTCTGAAAAAAATTTGACATGAAGATTTAACGTTTTTTTACGAACATCATAACCTTTATTTTGCACATTCGTCTTACGTATAACTTTTTTTTTCTTTATACACAAATGGTTTTAAATAAACGTCTTTCGTTTAAATCTATTTTTAAAGCATGATGTCTATGACATAAAGCGCATGATATTGCTAGAACTCTGTTATTAACTGCAGAGTTCAGCATATCTATTTTCTTATATTCATTTGTGAAAACAAAAAGATGCACACGTCATTTCTTTATTTTTCTTCTACTCGAATATTAACAAGTCTTTTCTTTCTTTCTAGTTTTTATTTTTCTGATATGTCTGTGGCATTACAGACCATTTGACGACCAAATTAGTTTGCTATTTCCATGATCTATTTCTACGATTATGACAAGAGACAGATGATAAAAAGTCATTTTCTTTGCAACATCCGTATGTCAATATGCAAACATAAATTAAGGCGCAATGAATGATGTTAAGCCAAATTAGTTTCTAAATATTAACTAACTAGAAACAAGTAAATAGGTTTTTTGTGTTATGACAGGCTAATTCAAACCTTGGAAACCTATGTGAGAGCTCACGATTAGGTGACGAAAAGCTTCCCCCGTATTTACGTCACATTTGTTCGAGCTGTCCCATGAATTCATACTGCTTTACTCATAGATAATTCATATTTTCAAATATATAATTAGAAAAACTAAGGCGAAAATGAGTTATTTTCAGCTTCATTATGTGTCACCAAGTTTCTTCTACCAAAAATGATAAGAACTTTATTGGTAGTTCCTATATGAGCCTAAATAAAGCAGTATAATTTATGCGACTGGTAACGGATATGACGTACGCAGCAGCAAGCTTTTAGTCAACACTTTATAGGTCCACATACGACAAATATGGGTCTATGACGTAGGCTATTGAAAATAGCTTTAGCATGAAGTTAAAGTATAATTGTACGCAGCTTTTTATACGTTTTAAAAAAATCGGTTGACCTGAAGTTCTACTAGGTATTGTTTGTTTTAAGATCAGACAAAGTTTGGATATATTGTCTGCGTGGTTTGAAGTTTTTTTAGCTACATATTATGATGCTCAACATTAACATTCAGTATATTCCATTGACTTAATAAAACTAAAAGTAGACATGCAATGAATCAAAATTTCATTTTAGATCGTTTTGAGCATCCTCAAGTAGCACAATCATTTTGCTAAATGTTTTTAGCTAATAACGTTAACTATCAACGTTGATATTTTCGAATGTAGCAAAATGTAACGTTAAAAACAACATTGTTTGAATGTTGCCAAAGACCGCTGAATTAAAACGGTGCTAAAACGTTAAGATACAACGCTGCAGAAATTGAGATTTTGACGCTATTTCCGAATCTCGAAGGAACGTTGAGAAAACGTTTGTCAATTATGAACACCTGGAAGAGCGTTGTGGAATCTTAGACCTTAGGATCTTAC